ATATTTGTAATAAAATGCCTCTGAGACGGGATTTGAGCCTGCGACCTCTCCTTGTCACGGCGAGCGTCATAACCATTAGACCACAGAGGCTTCATGGTTTACAAAACTAAACTCACGACCACTAATGATTATGGCCGTTTGCTGTTTTATGGGTTTTTCCCATTTGCCTTTTTAAATTTATATATTATTAAAGAATCTCTATTGAGATCCAGCGGGCGGCCATTGATGCACGGTAGAGATTGCATCTTTAGATCTCTGATTTTGTTCACAAATTCACGGACTAGTGCTGTCTCGTAAGAATTTCGTAGAACGCGTTAAGAGTGACACAATACTCTCTGTATCTACTGGAACCGAGCCGCATAGCTTGTATTCCACTATTTGCATTCACATCTGGGCTGTGTATATATGCAAGCCCGTAGCCAGGATTTTTATAGGGGGGTTCTTTTTTATACTAAAAGGGCACTTGCGAGCGAAGCGAGCACCATTGGCTGGGGGCCAGGGTGTCGCCACGGGCCCCCGGTGGGGTCCATGGGAAAAGGGCGCGGTGGGGGTCCAGGGGGCTTCGCCCCCGGAAGCACCAGCATTCTAGACATGTACAGGTGTTATTTAATTGATTTGAGAGGCCATACATTTTTTTTAAATGTATATATTAAAGAGGTAATTTTTTTGAGTTAGGCAAACTTAAAAAAACAAAAAACAAAAACTACTAGTTTAGTACTACAGTACTGGTAAATTAACAAGAGCCTACAGTAGCATGATACATACTCCAAAGAAACCAGTAGGCCTATGGTTTATTCTTTATTTTAATTCTTTTTAAGAAATAAGAAGTACTGTATGGCTTATAGCACTTTGGAAGTTGTATCATACTGTACTCACTCAAGACAATCAGTAACATGAAAAAAGAACCTAAACAAATTTGTATGGTTGGCTGTAGTGTATTATTATCCCGATTATCATTACAGTATATATAATTATACAGGTGAAACTATCCCCCGCCGGACACCATCCCGGTATTTCTGAGTCAAGGTTTCGGGGCCTGAATGGTCATACTGCACAATAAAATATTGCATCCACAGTAATAATTATAATACTGTATAATATAATGATTTACTAGTATGGTTTGTATGGTTGGTTGTAGTGTATTATTATATATACAGGTGTGAAACTATCCCCCGCCGGACACCATTCCGGTATTTCTGAGTCAAGGTTTTAGTGCCTAAATGGTCATACTGCACAATAAAATATTGCATCCATAGTAATATAATATATGGTGGCCGATGATCGTATCGGGAAGATCGGCGATACGCTCTGCTGCTGCTGCCCTGCCCTGTTCCTATTTTGGGCGGTTAGCCCTACACGGTTGTACTGATTAAATAATAATGTGGTAACAGTTGAAAATGCCTTATTTTCATTTAATTTTTATAGTACTAGGTAGGCCTAACAATTGGGTATTAAAGTAGGACTTGTTTTAATGATGATAGGCTCTAGGCTAGGCCTAA